CCACTCTTCCAAAAGAGGGGGTTTCCCTGAGTGGATTTATTCGCCGCTAGACAGAAAGTGAAGTGCCCCAGGTTCTGCTCCAGACCGGGCCTGGAGAAAGGTTCCCTTGCAGACACCTTCCTCCTTCCTTGGAAAAAAGGCCTCATATATGCCTTCCCACCATTTTCCCTGAGTAATTCTCATTGTGCTGGCATGGCTGCACCAGCATTAGAACAGCAGTCTCCGAAACCTCTTAGTCCACCAGTCTCAGCTTCTTCTGGCCCGCACAGATCTTCTGTCACTGTCTACTGCACTCGGACCTGCAGTCTCTTCCCCTCATGGTGTGGCTGCTCCATGGCAGAATTCACAGGAGCAGGCCTCATTGGAAGTGAGGAGTGTTCTCTTGGAAAGCAAGAAGCCCTCCACTGGGTCCACCTATGTGGCGAAATAGACTTGATTCGCAATCTGGGCTGCTTAGAAGGGGTTCATCCCCATTGAGGTCCTTCTGCAGACAGTCTTTGGCTACCTCCTTCATCTTAAACACAGTACCTTAACAGGTATTGTTTTGACTTCAATCAGAGTCCACCTGTCTGCAATCTCGGCCTTCCATCTGCCTATTCAGGGCCATTCTGTGTTTTCCCACAACTTAACAGCCAGATTCTTAAAAGGTCTTGAGAGGCTTTTTCTGCATGCCCTGCCCCTCTTCCCCAGAAGGACCTTAATTTGGTTCTTTCAAGGCTGACATGGCCTCCCTTTGAGCTGCTGGCCTCCTGTCCCCTTTCGCTCCTTTCTGCTAAGGAGGCCTTTTTAGTAGCAATTACATTGGCCAGAAGAGTGTCTGAACTCCATGCCCTAACATCAGAACCCTCTTATGCGGCCGCCTTTAAGGATAAGGTGCAGCTTAGAGCTCATCCGGCCTTTCTTCCCAAGGTTGTATCTGCCTTCCACATGGGCCAGGATATCTTTCTTCCTGTCTTCAATTGGAAAATTCATCAGACCAGTGAGTAGAGACGCCTGCACACTTCAGAGGTCAGGAGGGTGCTTGCTTTCTACCTAGAATCATAGAATACTAGGACTGGAAGGGACCTCGAGAAGTCATCGAGTCCAGTCCCCTGCCCTCATGACAGGACCAAATACTGTCTAGACCATCCCTGGACCATATGAGACCCTTCCGTAAGTCCTCCCAGCTCTTAGTGGCTTATGCTGAGCATAGGAAGAGTCTTCTGGTCTTTTCGCGATGGATTTCCAGGTGTATCGTCTCCTGCATCAATATGTGCTATGTTGGCAGATGTTCAACCTCCACTGTTGGCAAAGATGCACTCAACCATGGCCCAAGCCTTGGGCACCTTCCCCACCACTGTCCTGATCTCAGACATCTGCAAAGTTGCAACATGGTCTTTGGTACATATGTTCACATCTCATTACGCCAGCATGTAGCAGGCCAGAGAGGATGTAGGATTCGGCAGAACCGTACTGAATTCTGCGTGACCTTAAACTTCTACCCTGCTCCCTTTCTCTTTCCATTCTGTTTTTTGTCTGAATCCTACTGCTCCTTAAGATCAGAATAATCTCCTGTTTCTTGTCTGCCATGTGCCACCTTTTCCATCTTCAAGTCCAGTTCTTCCATGAATTTCCTTCTTTGGAGTCACCAGTAATTTCTCTGTATTTTCCTTGTCAAAATTGATGACTTATCTTTCTTTATCCATGACAGAGATGGTGTCTTCATCTGTATTTTGAAAAGAGATGTTCTGTAAATTTGCTGTTGCTGATTATATTATTAGTGAAATAAGTAGATTTTTATAAGGGAATGAAGAAGACATATTCACAGACATCTTTTCATGAGGGCTGGTCTCTGCCAAACTGAGAAATGGTGGTACATTACTGAAAGCAGAGGTGCCTGGAAAATTTCCTTTTAATCTGACCACAGTTAAGCCCTGTGTACATTACATTGAGGATATTAGCATTAAGCCTGTAAAGCCAGTGCTTTTTTGTGATGGTACACACCAGTACGATGTATTGTCACTTTTTTGGGGGGCAAAAGGGGGGACCACTCGCAGAGCACTCATGCTTCACTGGACAGAAGCCCGCTCAGGATACACGGCAATTAAAAGGGCCGCAACTTCATTTCGGTTACTCCCCGGTGCTTTTTTTGTTTGTTTGTTTTTTCTCAATAAATTTTTATTTATTTATTTATTTTTAAAAACCATTTGGCAACCCTAGTACCGGCACACTTTTTTTGTAAAAAAAAAAAAAAAAAAAAAAAAAAGATTTTTTAAAGGAAGGATTGTGTAAGGCACTGTCTCTGTTGCACTTCAGTTACAATACAAATAATTGAAACCCCCCTCTTAGACAAGGTCTTGAAAAAATGACTTGCTTTAGAAGTCATTAATGTTGTTTGTGCTCACGTGATTTTTTTTTTTCATTTTCATTTTTATTTATTTATTTATTTATTTACAGCTAGGTGAAAGAGACATGCTTCATGTCTGCAAGGAGGCTAGTCTTGACCACTGTTTTTGGTTTAGTTAAAATGATTTAGTTATGGGTATTGACAATGTTTATGCCATATTAATTTAAACCATTTTAAAAAACCGTTCTAGTGTTTGCTTAACTGGGCATAGTTTAAGAAACGAGGATTTACAAATCTCTTT